GACAGTCTACTGTCACTTCTGATAATCTACTGTCTGATGTTCAGAATGGGCTGATAATCGATTATCACACTCTGATAATCGATTATCAAACTTCAGAGAGGGCTGACAGTCGATTATCACATTCTGATAATCGACTGTTGCTCAGCTTTGTTACAAAAATCTGCAGAACGATGAATAATCGATTTTCAAGTTGATAATCGATTATCCATCGTCTTCTACCTCGAGCCAACTTGCGGAAATGACACTTTTACTCACCAAACTTCAATTAAAGTATATAAAAGTGTTCTCCAAGGTTCATAGATCATTTTGGCATCATTAATTCATAGTTTTAACATCAATTTCATGGTTTAAGATTCTTAGTTCTTCAAGTATGTCAAACACAAAACTCAACCAAATGACCATTTATGAACGTAGAAACGACCTATATGAACATTCTAGTCATTAGATATATCTAGGGGCTTACCTCGAAGCTTAATGGAGGTTTTGGAAATTTTCCGGTGAAACTTCCGGCGAGTATTTCTCCCAACTCCAGCGACTTCACACCAAATCGATAGCACCACAACACTCCTCACACTTTCATGAACATTTAGGAAGAAGAATGAAGAAGAATGGTGAAGAAATGAGAAGGTTGGGTTTTCTTATATAATGAGAAGGAGAGAAGAAGAAGAAGAAGGTGACTCTGCGATCGGCGTAGTGGGGAAGGAGGCGCCGTCTAAACAGTTCCCTGATTGGGACCTATTTTGGTTCCAGTCAGGGTACACTTTTTGGTCCAACTTTCTCCAAATTGAAATCTGTTTGCACCGTTGCGATCAGACAGTCGAGCTCTATCCAACGATATACTTTTCATATTCATTCATTATACTTTTTCTGACACCACATTTTTGGGTGTTTGACTTTAACAGAGTCAAAATTGGTTTAATTGACCTTCCTCATAAAAGGTTCTCTCATTTAATTCACATCAATTATTCTCATGATTTATTTCAACAAATCATTTCAATATTTACATTCTAAACAATTCTTTATTTACTCTTGATTTGGGTCTGTACTCAGGTTCCCAATCAAAACCACACAAATAGTCCACATATTGGATTTATCTCTATGAGACTTATCCAGATTTTGATATTAGATGTCAAAACAAATTTCATATCGGCCCAAAGCCCAACAATAATTTATTTTAATCAAAACAATTGTGATTAATTGATTATTTATTCATTAATAATTCTAGGGTATGTTTTGGGGCGTTACAAAACCCAACTAGGCTCAAAACAGATTCTAAAGAGACATTCCAGTATCCAGCTCAAGAGGTCAGAATCGAACCAGATTACCTTGTTATTTTTACCCTCAATAGATAAACAAAAGGTGTGATTGTGAAATGAGTGGAAAAAACAAAATTCCACATTACCCAAAACGAATGATGCTTGCAAGTTCTTTGTCAGGTGATTAGTAGGTCGGAACAGAAGCAAACCTTCCCTGTGTAACACCTTTCGAGGGGCTGACGTGTCCAAAATTCGATCATTTGCAATGGAGGATGAATTAGGTTTCTGGGAGGGGTTCCACCAATTTCTACGTTGGATGAGGGAGCCTCTTCGATCACCATGACGATATCTATCCCAGAAGTTGTCGCTGCAAGTTGTGGTACCTGGATCAAAGAAATAGTTCCTGTCACCACCTCTATGGAATTGATAGGATTCGCTGGTGGTTCTTCGATCATCATCATAGGACCTTCGATTCTTTGAATTAGAACCAAAGGGTAGTGGTTGCCGGAAAAAAGTAGATCCATCTATAGGGCGGCGGCGTGATTCACCCCTCTCCCTCCTCTCTCTCTCTCTATATATATAGCCTGTGGAGATAGTAAGGTTTCTTTTGTGCAATAGCCTGTGGAGATGGTTTATGATACGAATATCCTTTTCTAAAGGATTTCTTCTCGTTAGCACCAAATATGTTGTGTGTTTCATTATAGGTGAGATGCCTATGTTTAGTAAAACACACGGGAGCAATATGTCCTACCCTATTGCAATGATGGCATACTACGTTTCGGTTGAACATATGCCTAGGTTGATAATAGCTAGGGGGTCGTCTAACCATATTCATCCTATTTTGAGAAAAGGATGTTTTATGCATGTTTTTAAAAGAATCATTTTTAGGTGTCCTTATGTTATTTCTCCTTTTTTGAGAAAAATTATTATTATGCACAAAATCATTTTTCTTAGGTTGTCTACCGTGAACATTTTCATTCCTAGGTTTTAGTCTAGGTTGTCTATATGGTGGCTCCACGTTTTATTTAACCTTAACTTCATTTCTTACGTTGAGCCTTAGGTGGTTGTCTAGATGGTGGCTCCACGTTTTCTTTAACCTTAACTTCATTTTTATTGAAACTTATTCCTTCCTTAGAGAAATGCATAGTGTCAAGGAGCAAATTTAAATCTTTGTGCGGAGTATTAAATTTCTTGACCGTACTCTCAAGTTTTGTAACTTGTTCCCTTAAAGCTTTACAAGATTCACATTTGTTTGAGGAACTTTCTGGTTTGTCGGCGCTTCTTTTGCCCTAAAATTTATTTTCTTGTTTTAACTTCTCATTATCTTTTTCCAGATTTTCAAAATCATTTTCAAGAGTGAAGAGGCATTTTTTTAACGATTTGTTGATTTTAGAAGCGCTAACAAATTCATCATAAAGTTCATGAAGCGCTTCTTGCATTTCTTCAAAAGTGTAAGAGTCGGAAGAAATGGTACATACTTCTTGTTCATTGTCGGTTTGGTCTTCATATGTGCCATGAGACAGAGGTTGGCAGTTTCATCCTCGTCTTGGTCAGTTGACTCGTCGCTGGAGTCGCCACCCCAAGAGATGTATGCTCTGTGCTTTTTGAAACAGCGAGTGTTCCTTCCGTTTCTCGGGCATTTGTTCTTGATGTGCCCGACTTCACCACATCCATAGCACACAAGGCCATCCTCAACCTTTTCTTTATTTCTTAGAAGTTTGCAAAACTTCTTCATGACAAGCTTGACTTCATCATCATCGCTTGAGTCATTCATTGTCGGTTCATTGGAGGCTTTTAATGCTATGCCTTTTCTCTGGTCATTCAAAGACGGGTTAAGTATAGTAGATTCATACATTTTTAAGTTACCTCTTAAACTTTCGATGGTGACATTTGATGTGCCGATTGACTCATAGATGGCATCGACCTTAGATTGCCATTCAGATGTCAAGCTCCGTAGGATCTTTCGCACAAGATCCCTGTCGGTGTAGGTCTTCTTCAAAGTATGAAGATCGTTGACTATCTTGGAGAATCGGACGAACATGTCATCGATGTTTTCGTGCTCCTTCATTCTAAACATCTCATACTCTTGGGTGAGGAAGTCGATCTTGGCTTCACGTACTTGGTCCGTTCCTTCGTACGTCACCTCAAGTTTATCCCACATCTCCTTGGCGGTTGAGCAGCAAGAGATTTTTCTGTAGTCATCAGGATTTACGGCACAATAATGCATGTTTATTGCCTTTGCATAATTCTCGACCTTTTTGATGTCCTCGGCATCAAATTCATCTTCGGTCTTGGGGATCAATTTGTCCTCGACTTTCTTCATCGGCACCTCTTCCCCGTTTTTGATAACCAACCATAATTGGAAGTTCGTGGAACGAATATAGATTCTCATTCGTTCTTTCCAATATGTATAATTGGTTCCATCAAAAAGAGGTGGTCGTGGGGTTGATTGCCCTTCACCTATTCCTGCATACAAATTTCTAGAAGAAGAACCCATGATCGCTTTTACTCTCAAACGGTTAAGTTTGGACACTAGTTAGCCTCTGATACCAATTGTTAGAATAAATGCCCAACGCTAGAGGGGGGGGTGAATAGCGTTTGATCGTAGAAATAGCAGGAATAAAAAATTAAGAGCGTGAAAGATAAAGAGCGTAGAAAGCGTAAAGGGAGCACACCAAGATTTACCCTGGTTCACCACAACTTGTGGCTAATCTAGCCTCCCGAGAGACTCTCTCGAGCTACACTACTTCCGTTAAGCTTACGGGTGCTTAACAAACCGTTACAACTTGAGAACTGGAATCCCACGAGCCTTAATACACTTGCTCGGAGATACCGCACTCCAAGACTTCAACCCGAAGGAAAAATACCTTTCCTTCGTACAACCAAGGGAAGCAAACTTCCCTTAATGTCTATGAACACTAAGAACACTCAAGAATAAGGCTCTCTCAAAAGAGTGAATATGAGTAAAGTAATACGCTCAAGATCACAACACGAACTTCACAAAAATGGCTCTCGAAAAGCTATGAATAATGTATGAATAATATGCAATGAAAGAATAGGAGTTGTGAAGTAATGTGTTATATAAAACAGACCCAAACACCCCATTTTATAGTGGAAAAATAGGCTCCAACGGACCAAAACATTTAAGGGGTGATTTGCACAATTTGTGAGATTTGATTAAATTTGGATCTGCTGAAATTCACCCAGACAGCGCTGTCTTAGGCTTGGACATCGTTGTTCTAGGCTTGGATTTTGAAAATTGGGAAGCAACGGTCATGCCAACAGCGATGTCCAATATCCCTACATCGCTGTTTTGGCTGTTGACTTCCAAACAAGGAAAGTTTTAGCCTTAAATTCCTTCCAACGGTCAGGTCCCTATATCGATGTTCAATACTAGAACATCGCTATTTAGGTCTAACTTTGAAAATGGAAGTTTGGCCTGACAGCGCTGTTGCTGGGTCAACATCGCTATCTTGAAACTTTCTGCCAATGCACTATATTTTTGGCTTAGGTTGGACAGCGCTGTAGGGAAGCCTACATCGCTGTTCCAGAAGTTTCTGGAAATCCAACCTTGGCTCAACAACGATGTCTAGTGTGCAACATCGCTGTTGGAAGACTTAATGCCAAACTATGGTTTTTAGCTACTCAAGCCAGACAGCGCTGTTGGGTGAACCAACATCGCTGTTGGGCTGGTTTAGCCAGACCCATGGTTGGTTTAGTCATGCCGTTAGCCGATGTCAAAAACGTAAGTTCTCCAAAATAAAAACTAAGTGTTGAAAACATTTGTTTATTGCATTTTTCTAAGAAATAAAGTAAAACAACTCAAAAACCACGCCATTTAGTTGAAAACCACGGCTAACCAAGTTTGTGTCATTTTGCATGGTTTTCACTAAGCGTTTTTGTTGGAGAACTGTTTAAATATTCCTAGAAGTAAAAGCCAATCATAAAAAGTTAAAAACCACTTGGTTGGTTCGGATGCCCAAAAACCAGTGCCGAAAACCGAAAGCCGAACACCGGTTTCTGAAAGCCGAACGCCGGATGACTTGGTTTTTGGTTTGGGCGAACTCCAAGTGTTTTAGGCAAGTTTAAAACTTAAGAAGAACATTTTTGAGTATGCAAAAAATATTTTGATGATATGAGCCTAGAGAGCCAAGTTTTGAAAGTTTGTGCCGGTCTTGATCACATTAAGACCGACTCAATACAATGCTAAGTCTTTGTTCTTGATTCTTGGTTCTTGGTTCTCAGTTGATCATGCCATGTTCCTTCGCCTTGGTTATGCTCAGTTTAATCTTGTTGTTGTCAACGACAGTTTGGCATTATCAAAACCTGTCATAACACGAACACAGTTTAGTACGACATAGGCGTAAACCCGTGTTCCAACAATTATCCCGTATTGGAGGCTATGTAGGCAAAGTCACAACCGAATGTCGTGGGAACTTGTGTGTGCTGAATGCACTATAAGGCTAGGATATACGCCTCTTGTAACAACAATTATTGTCAGAAGAGTTGGTAGCGTCTGAGGTCCTAGAATTTGTATCAGAGCCAAGGTTACGTATTCGATTCCCAGCGGGAGCAATTGGTGAGGGGGAGATTGTTGGTCATGTGTGCATCAATTGTCCCGTAGTGAAGGCTATGTGGGCCAAGTCATAATCCAATGTCGTGGGTGCTTGTTTGCCGAATGCACTATAAGGCTAGGGTATGCGCCTCTTTTAACACCAAGTGGTTTTAGAAGAGTTGGTAGCGCCTGAGGTTCTAAGGGCATTATAATCACTCTCATAATAGCGGATTGCTGCATACATAATGATATCATAGAATATGGCTTAATCTCTCAATGACTAGAGCAATGAGGATAAAGAACTCAAGCAATAATGGATTTAGCAATCAAAATATTACCTTGCTTGGATATGAGAAGGGGATTGAGTGGATACTCTTTTAATAACTAAAGGATATGTTAAGAAATGTATTCTTTGTGTTCTTTTACTCAAATTCACCACCTAAGGAAGTTGATATAAGATAAGAAGTGGATAAGTATCAAATATTTGAAAAATACAGCTTTTTGAGAGTTTGTAACAGTCAATTTATTCGAGTAAGCGGGTCAAGAAAATTGTCCACAAAGGTAAAAAACTCAAGATTTATTCGAATAACTTCGTTAGAAAATTTTCTGATTTATTTGAATAGGGAGTGACTTATCTTAATAGGTCAGCCCAAAAATGACAAATGAGGTTCTCTGTTTTTTTGAATAGGCTAAAGATTATTCGAATAAAAGCGCAAGTTTTGTAAGGAAATGTTTGACCAAAAGTATTTTCAAGGAAGGTTATAACACACCACTTTCAAAACAATGAGAGAAAAAATTTTGGGCATTGAATTTTAGAAAGAGAAAGTAATTATTTGGGGTTCCATTAATATTATTTTGTGTATAGAAAATAACTAAAATATTCTCTAAATACTATTATAAATATTTTCTATAGAAATATACAAGATTATTATTATCCCAATTTTAATCTTTATATTTTATACTACTATAATCTTTACTACCACAAAGATTGTTGTAGACTCTGGCGTTGTTCGTGTGTCAAAGTTGGAGACCGAACGCTTGGACGGGTACGTTTGCACTTTCAACGTTCTTCCTACGTCTTATGATTTACTCCTATTTAAGGGTCTTCTTATCAATTTCTTAATTTAACGACTTAGTGGTAACAATTCGGCTCGATATCTCTAGTTTTTATTTTTTGGAATCCACCCCCAAACTATTCTGAAAATGGTTCACTTCAAAATATAGTTTACTAGAACCTTTGGAAAACACACTTTTTGGCTCAACACGAAGTCGGTGATAGAGCTTAAAAGGTTGGGTTTTCTCATACTTTAAAGAGATTTTGTAAATATTTTTTACATAATTCAATATATATTTATAAAATAAATATAAAAGCTGATGATAAACTCGTTTTATACATAATTTTATCCTCACATTTAACAAATTTTTTTCTATTAAACTCATTTTTTAAGAATATTTTTCAATTAAAAGTTATATTTTTATATTTAGAGTAGTAAAATTAAATGGGCCAAGAAAAAGATAAAAATATGTTTGATCTCAACAAGAAATTAGGTATATCTTTCTATTGGAATGGAATTTGAAGTTGGAGCAGGAGATAAAAGTGTTCAGAATCAAATTGCAAGCAAAATAGTGTTAAGGAGCCAAGTGTACGAAAGGGCGACCAAGCAGGCGCCGCCTACCTGGCCGCCTGCCGAGTTTAAGCAAATGACAAGTTGGGCTCCGGTGGCGAACTCTCGCGGAGGCTGCGATATTTGGCTCCGGCATGCTAGCAGGCGATTGCCTGCTTGCCCGCCTTTTGAAGTTCTCGAAGGGTTGCCTATCCAAAAGCTTTAGACGTTGGCAGTGGCAGGCTAACAGGCGGCTGCCTGTCTGCCCACCTGCGACTTTGGCCGAGTATAAATACCCCATCTCTGTTTTCCCCTTGCCACCATCCAAAAATTTCCATTTCTTTTCCATTCTAAAGTTTGGGAATCCTTAGTAGAGTTCCAGAGTGTTCATTTAAGATTCTTCAGAGTTGTAATCGACTTTCCGAGATCTGTAAGCTTTCTTGTAAATTTTTCCTTATCAATAAAAGTATTTCTTGAGTTTATTTGTAATTATTATTATGGCTTTTTGCGGCTAAATTTATATTAAGGTATGAATTGAATTAAGGGTATGGGCTAATATTATTAATTAAAATTAAGTTAGTAACTTGGTTAATTGATTTATTTGTCTAAATTGAGATTAACTAATTAATAGATCTAGCCAATTTATTAATTAATCTATAGAGGTTATTTGTCTGGCTTGTCTATGAGTTAGGAAAAATAATCTAGCCAAACCATATTTAGACACATTAATGAGGCCTATAATAGGATAAGTTAATGAATTAAAAACTAATTAATCAAGAAGCTAATTTAATCTAAAATTATTACCTTAGCCCATATACCTGTTCAATTCATACTTGTTCCTAAATCATTGATTGAATTAAATCTATTATTTATATTATTCTATTTGAATCTTGTTTGTTCTAAGTTTTCTTAGTTCAAGATTAATTATTCTGTTAAATTAAAATATCAAGTTAATTAACAAATACTTCCCTTTGTCAATCCTTGTGAGACGACTTGAGTTATTTTCGGTTAATTTATTGACTTATCGCTATATTGAGCTTCGTTAGCTGAATTTTTAGACTTTCAATATTTTTCTACACTTAAAAGCCTATATTTGAGCTTTAAATGATTTAAATTGCAATTGGGTAGGTAAATGTCTGAATTTGGATGGACATTGGATCAATTGCATGCAATATTGGACCCAAAGTTTCAATTGACCCCAAGAGAAGGAAAATATACTCTTATCCTTTTCATTCATTCAATCACACACAAACCATATTCTAGAGAGAGAGAGAGAGAGAGGAGAAGTGAATGTTTTTGCCAGGAAAATTTCCACCATTTCCAGTGAATCCCGACGAGTGAGAGAGAGTGAT